CAATTTGCCTTTTCGAATTTCCATGCTCCAATTTGCGAAACGTTGAACGCGGATGTAACGTATTGCGATGAAAAATAAGCGACTTTTATCGCAACGCCCAGCCAAAATATGTTCGTGACTTATCGGCTGAAATTGGCACGTGACGCTGTTGCCTCCAGGAAATTTGACATAACTGATTTATGCTGTATTGCTTTTTAATTCAGATATCTTCATCAAGGACACATCTGCTACGACTTGTGTTTTTCGATCGACATAGCGATTACGCTGAGTCGTAATTAAATAAGAGAAGTTTGAATAAGTAGAAATATTAATGAGAGGAAAATTTTGTTCGATTTATTCTATAAAATACAGGTTCAATTTATTAATAAATATTTATTTGCAATATAATGATGAATGTGCAGATAATTCTTCGTAATTATAATAATACCTTTGTAAATTAACTAAATTATATTATGTGAATGTCGATAATGTTTTTTAAAAAGAACATGTCAAATATAACATATCAAATATATCGTGTTATTTTTATAATTACATTTGATATATTGTGTGTGTATAAAAGAGACACAGAGATAAAAATCTTTTATTCGATATACAGAAAGAAGAAGCGTCGTGTTTCCCGTCATGTCTCGAATGGAAACAGATAGTCTCGTTTATGATTTCAGTAGCTGTATCGTAAACCTGTCTTGTCCTGCGCGATACGCGATGTGAGTATACACATATCCCTGATAAGGTGTGCTCGGTTGACAGAGGCTCAGTTTTGTAATGCGCGAAATTATTCCGTCACCGTGAAGCATTTTTCTGCGAGTATAGTCTCAATGAATGCATTTAGCAAAGATAACACTGTGTATATTTTCCACTAGACCTGATTAAGTCCAATTGTAAGAGAAGGAGAGAGAGAATCGCAAAAAGCTAATATAATTTTTTAATTTCTTATAGACATTTTAATATTTCTTGTTTTATTTTATTGCAATAATTAAAAAATTGTGACAGTTCAAAATTTTTGTTTTAGATCAAATAATAAAATATACATCTTTTTATGAATAATATTAATTTTATATTTTACTATATATATAAGAAAATGATATGAATCATAAATATTAAAGTAAATAGAATTAAAATGTATAAAACATTTTTTTGGATAAATTTATTGAAAAATAATTTCTTCCACCTCTCTTTCGCTTTCTCGCGAGTTAACATCGCGGTTTCGCACGCGCATGGCAATCGATCGTCAAGCGTGGGAATGTCACTGCGCGATCAGCTGTCTAGCTGCAAGGCCGCCACGAGGAGACACAGTACATTTTCACGATATTTCCGCTCGTCGCTCGCCCGTCGAAGCGAAATTTCCGTCGCGTGTCCGCGTATATTTTCCTAACGAAGGCCCCGTTTAACGAGAGGCCGGATAGATGTTCAACGCGGTGGAAACAATTGATCAATTCAACCGCGTGTCCAATTACGAAATTGGCAACGATGAAAATACCGGCTCGGACTCTTAATTCGATTCAGCCAATTAGAACCTTCTCATTGTCCGTCCGTAGAGGGTTGAATATGCTTCTTGCGTCTCGCTCGTTGAGAGAAAATTTCCGCGGCAAACGGCACCGTTCTTTGTTCGAGATGACTCTTTCTCCCGTGTCGTACAAGTATCTTCCGGAGCACTGAATATACACGGAACTGCTATCGCCGAAATATATATAGTTGATTAACAAAGTTTTCCCTCTGTTAAATTCTTTCTCGGGAACAGGTCCGAGCTGCAATTAAAACTTGAGTAATAGACACGGGATATATATAGAATGAAAAAGCACGTGCACGACAAACTCGTAATTTCGCGTGAAGATCCTTGTAAAATGCTGCCTCGTTACACAATTGACAATTTAATGTAACAAGCGAAAAACTCTGATGTTTACCTAAAGTTTATTTTTAATGATATTTGACAGGAGAGCTAAGTCAAAGTTTTTTAATTAGTACAGTGAGAAACATAATTTGCGGATCCGTCAAATCCATCGTACTTTTTACGGAATTTCTTTTTCTTCTTCTACTCTTGTTTACAATTTATTTCTACAAATAAGAGTGAACTAAGAGAGAGTTGTTGATACATCATTACAGTTGTGTTTTTATTCGCGTATAAAGTATAAAATAAAATAATAAAAAAACTGATATAATTAAATAAAAATTCTAATAGAGCACCAGAAAATTAATTAGTGAAACAATAGAATGACGAAGTTATGAAAATCTAAAATCTTAGTTTAGAATGCCGCGCTTGTTTAATTAGAACGCTCGCGAGATGCAATGCAGCAACCCTAAATAATTGAAGAAAGTATCGCATAAACAAATAGGTGTAGTTGTTTTCTCGTTGGTCCGGAAACGGGTCAAGATCACGCGGGACGTCGAGATGTATGGGCGATCGGTGGAAAAAAATATCTCGCAGCCGACCATGAATTAAACGGCTGCCCCGATATCGCGAATTGCGTAATCGATCTAAAGTGGCCGCTCGAGCAGCGATATCTGGAATATCGAGACACTCGAGTCTCGACACTCGGATGCACAATCGAGTTTCTCGGAATCCGTTTTTCTATTTTTGTCGCCATTTTTTCCCTTGTTTAGATCAGTCGCAATTAATGACGCGTCACTTGTACGATCTTTCTCGCTTTGCGAGAGCTTCTTTTTTTCCCTACGAATACATTGTTTATCTGCTTATCGGTGAACTCATGTGCCCCTAAACGTCGATAAATCGTGAGTTTTACGACGTTTAATTGAACGATTGTTATCGTTAGGATCAATTAATAGTCTTATCAGGTTTCAAGTGGAAATCTGTATTAAACACGTGATGATAGTATCTGTCACAATGTTGCAATTCCTGGTATTTAGAATGAATTAATTTATATTTTATAGATATTTCGGATAAAATTGTCCGATCTAAAATTGACGTGCTCTTCATGTTATAAATAAATTAATACAAATTGTCGCTCGTATATTGAAAACAAAGTGATAAATCTAAGGCCAACTTATCGAGCTGAATATTCGAGATGTTCAGTCAACTACCATTTATTACATGTATAAATTATAAAACTACAGTCATTAGATATTAAAACTAACGCAAATTACAATCATTCTATAAACGTTTCGACCGCACGCGGTCTTCTTCAGTATAATTCTTGAAATATAATTCATACAACTTCACATAATATCGGAATTTAATTATAATTATTCAGAATCGAGAGTCTTTGAGCAATTAACGCGTGTTCTAATTCGTCATGTCCAACAATGTTCGCCTCGATATGATCTCTGATTTTTCTCAGATCTCGGATAGTTTCATCGTTAATATGCGAGAAATTAACCCGTTCCGTAGGCGCTATCATCGTCCTTCTTGACAAGATGAAACTATCCGAGATCTGAGAAAAATCAGAGATCATATCGAGGCGAACATTGTTGGACATGACGAATTAATTGCTCAAAGACTCTCGATTCTGAATAATTATAATTAAATTCCGATATTATGTGAAGTTGTATGAATTTATATTTCAAGAATTATACTGAAGAAGAGCGCGTGCGGTCGAAACGTTTATAGAATGATTGTAATTTGCGTTAGTTTTAATATCTAATGACTGTAGTTTTATAATTTATACATGTAATAAATGGTAGTTGACTGAACATCTCGAATATTCAGCTCGATAAGTTGGCCTTAGATTTATCACTTTGTTTTCATGTTATAAGTTTATGCGAGCGTCTGCAAATATTGCGCTATAAGATATCGATAACATAAGTGATGCAATCAGAATCTTTACACATTTTCTTCCAGAAATCAGTGAGGATTCTAACGCAACAATGATTTCGATGATATTATCGACAGCTCGTTATCGAGCGATCGCCGTTATTATCTCTTGCCTTGCCCTATCGTTGGATGGATTATTATCGGATTGATTAACTCGATTATAGATTACCTTGTTAAGTCGAACCCGCGACGTGATCTCGAGGCTTTCGACGTACATTGAGAGTTTAAGGTCGTTTGGGAAAAGGTTATAAAAAGCGTGCAATTCTACGGAATATGACAATGCTAGAAGTTGCAGTTTGAAATATGATTTCGCGATCAAGAGTTGAAATATATTTGAATCAATATTGTATACATGATAAATAATAATGTGGATATATATTTTATCATTTTTTGTTTTCTTTTTTTTAGTATAATTTTTCTTCTTTGTATCTTCTTTATCTTTTTCAATTTATATATGTATAAATGATGAGTGTTTGTATATGATTTATATGTAGATAATGATGCAGAAAAATTAACTCACCCGGAAAATTAAATCAAAACAAGTTACGTAATGACTTTGCATATGTGTATGCGTAAAAAATAATCTTCAAAGTTATTACTTAATGAGTTTTCATTGATTTTTGCTTATCTCTCCCCACATATACTCGCGTCCTATTTTAAGCGCAGGAAGTACAAGTGCATCTAGGAAGCAATTAAAATTAATTCTTAACAATCCCGACATCTTTCTCCAAGTGCAATATTTAAAGAGCTATATGTTTGTAGCACCCATAAAACCAAAATGACCGTGATCATCTAAAGTTAACATCGTTCTGTCGCACCAGGGACATATAAATCCTGGAATAAGCCATACAGTATTTATTATTTCAAAACACGGATGTGCGTATTAATATTTTGAAAAGCTCAAAGGACACAGGCGCGCGAGAGATATTTTGCGGAGCGTATGAAAAATTTCGCAGGACGTTTTTATATTCTCTCTTGATAATATATTTTTAAAGCACATCGGGGTGACGTAAAACGTTATAAGGATTCGTGCACGCAAGATCCGGTGGCTCTTCCGGTTGAGGGACGAACCGCAGGATCAACGGGATCTTGTGCGTATCCTCCCGTCTGTGTACGCGTATTCATCGCGACATTGAGTGGGGGATGCGGCGCGAAAGAGAGAGAGAGCGAGAGAGAAAGAGAAAGACAGAGTGTGAGAACCGGGCAGACAGTACGCGTATAAATACAAGCGGTCGCGTTCGTACGCGCTTAGTTGCTGCGATACTCGATTCACGTGACGGCCGTCGATCGAACGTGCCTTTCGAGTTTCATCCCGCGCCTTCGATCCTTTCGACGTGCGAATATTTACATACCTATACATGTGATGTGCGTGCGTGTCTTCCGTTCGTCCGACAACGAGAGCGAGTAACCTCGAGGAAGGAATAAAAAAAAAAAAAGACGTGAAGAAAAGAGTCTGTTATTTATTACGTGCATGTTTGGAGAAAATAAATGAAATAAAAAAAAAAAAAAACGGAAAAGAGGAATATATATATTTATTTAATTGATGATGATGATGACAGGTGACCAGAAACGGAGCAGTTCTTCGCCTTAGATTAGGCACACGCAGAGATAAATAAATAGATAAGCGGCCGAGTCTGTCTGGGGTTAAATAATCGTGTATAGAGCTGTATTATATATATATACCCCTCTACTTTCGGAGCACTTACACAAATATGCGTGCACACACGTCTATCTGGTAGCGTCGTCGGCGTCGGGAGTGAAAAGGCGGTCGACCGCTTCAGCTGCTTTCACCGACGACGAGCCGCGCCAGGTGGAATTAAATTAATGCCGCCAATTGCGCTTTAACGTTCCATTTCGTCGTCCGCGTGCCTATTTTCTTTCTCTCTCTCTTTTTATCCTCGTGAAAAATGACGTTCGCCCCATAATCGATAATTATCATCGAGTACATTCCTCGTTTCTCCGCTCGAACGAACCAGGTCAATGTGTCGATGTGAAAAGTCGATTATCGTCTCGCCACGATTGGAATCGTGAATTTCACGTATAGATCCAAATCGGCCGGTACGTAACGTTCGACCAAATTGACAGTGACAACGAGAGATTTCCTTTGGTATTTTGAAGTTTGCGCACACCGCAAAGTGGTAACCTTCGGCGAAACCTCTCTCGTCAGTGTGTAATGTTGAATCAACCGCAAGACACTCGTTCTCGTGTATATTCATTCTCTCGTCCGTGGATATATATATCTAATCTGTGAGTATAGGAAAAATCCCTTCACTAATTCGGTCAACGCCGTCGCGAGATAACCGAATCGATTCTACTGACAGAAGATATCAAGAATCCCCGATTTGTATTTGATTTCATCCTCGTCTTCGACGACCTCGCTGTCGCAATAAGACATTAACCCGGCATTAGGCGGAATCGCTGAGGAAATCAGCATCTCTCAACGCCGCCGGTCTCTACAGCCGAGTAAATACTTAATCTAGACGCGAGTTGACCTTAGACGTGACCCCGATACAAGATACCACTCTCTGCGATGCGCAGTACGCGATTGTGAACTGTTTGTCGGTCGCACGTGGAGATTCCGCTAGGATGGAAACAGCGAGCAAGATGTACATCAGCACCAACGAGCCGCAGAACGGTCACGCGACCACCAAGTTCGCCTCGACCAACTCCATCCCGGCGATGATGGAGCAGGAGTCGTCGTTGGCGAGGATCCTGAACGCGGTCAGGCCGCGCGAGAACGCGGCGATTCTGCGGGACTCGAACAAGAATCGCCGACACAGCGTCCTCGAGGATCTGAAGGCACGACGGGACAGCCTCTTTCAGAAGGCTCGTCGAGCCAGCGTGTTCGAAGACAGGGACAGTGCCAAGAGCGTCGTCAAGGACAACGCCAAGGACGCGAAAGACAAGCCGAAGGAGAAAAGAAGGAGCAGCGACAGCGGCAGGAGAAACTCGGTGTTCTACGTGTCCGAGGATCTGCTGGAGGAGAATCAGGAGCTACCGGGAAACGAGGATTGCGATCGCGCGATTCAGGAAGCCAAGAAGGGTCGCCGCAAGTCCTGGCATCCGCTTGTTAAACCGCCCAAGTTGGATCGGAAGAGGAGGAAGGGCGTGTCCGGTGTTCCCTCGCAGACCGGAAGCACGGAAGGGCTTTACTCGCAAAGTTATCCCAGGCAGAAGAGACCGTCCTGGTGGAACATCTTTGTACCGGACTCGGTCGTCAGGTATTTATTCGTCTCGCGATTATACAGTTTTGTTATATTATTGCGCGAACGTTTTGTTAGTCACTCGAGCGACTTCTGGGAGTCTGATGTGGTGGTTTCGTTTTAAAAGGATAATCGAGGTAAGAAAATGAAGCATATGAGAAAAGATGTTGTTTAAACATCATTAAAAGTCATGAATATATTATCATATATATTATTATTATCTAATAATATTGCATAAAGAGGAAAGAAGTTTGCGATCCACGCATGGCGAATATTGCTTTCTGAATAATTTATTTCATCATATTTACGTCGCTCAGTTATTTGATAAATAAATGTCATGGTTAATTTTAACGGATGATGTACTCATTTATAATTAATAATTATCAAATGATTACGTCGCCGCGTAAATTGCGTGAAAACATTTTTCGCGGTGGTTAAAAAAATTAAGATAGAAATAAACGGGAATAAAATTCAAGTAAACGAGATTTCGGCTGGTACACGCGATAATCTCAAATTTTTATTACCCAATTCACGGTGACTTTTACATTGATATATATTTGTGTTTCTGTCTCCAATTCGGACAATTAAGATAGCGGTGCAGTCTCAATATCGAATTAATTCTCAATAATTTTAAATAATTTCATGAAAATTATGTCTTCCACGATGTCACGTCGATTTAATTTTAAATATGATATTGCAATCAATTTGCATCGCCGAATAATTTCAGATAACCATCGTGTTACAATAATAATATTGTATCGTCAATAATTTCAAATTATCATCGTATTTTCCCGCAGATATAAATAACTTACAGTTCATTTTTTAGATCGTATCTTTATCGGTCTTTAGATTATTGTGTATATTGATTTATATAAATAAACGAATTATGAATTCGCGATTTTAAAGGGAAATATTTTACTTGTATATAAATAAATGGAAGTTTGGAAATATCTCGCTGTTACATCCAAGTCATTATCTGGGCTATAGAGAAAATCTTTTGTCGTTTACCAGACGATGAGAAAGCATCACCGTTTTAGATAACGGCACGTTCGTCGTAACGGTATTTTGCGAGAAATAACGATAAATCGCAGATGTTTGCGCAACGCAGAAACGGCGCATAAGGAAATTTCGAAAATTCCGAAAATATTTAATTTAAAAATGATACTTGCTGGCAGGCGGAGTATTACAAGACCTTTTTTTTTTTTTACTCCAAACAGCTGAATCAGTATCTAAAATTCGAGTACAAATATTTAAACACGTAATCTGTTTTTTTCCGTAAAACAGAAAATTCTTCTCGGAATAAAAAAGCTCATTTGTTCTACGGTTTGAAGTGAGAAATATTATTAACAGAAACAACGGATATTTCGAATGAGAAACACAGTAAAGAGATTAATCGCAAAACAAAAATATAAATAAGATTTTCATGGTCCCGATATTAGCTCGTGATTAAATTCTGGCATCATCCTGTTTTCATTCATTATTCCGACCGAAAATAATGTGACGTTTTTATTACGAGGAAATAGAATTTTCGACACTTTAATATTTCCACGCACACAGTGTCTCGAGAAAATTTCATGAAAGTTTCCTTGTTGCATTGCGATCTTGCGATTTCTCTACGAGAGACTTATTCGCGGAAGTCATCGTGAAAAGTACCGCCGGTTTGCCTGCACAATTCGCCATAAAATCTATCCAAGCTAGCGGAACCGAACTTATTATTCCGATGAACATGCTCGACGAATAATCGAACGTAGAAAGTTTTTATTTTAATCGCGTAACATAACTTATGCACGTTTTCTCAAATATTAGGGAAATCTGGAAAAAAATAGTATTTTATTTTATTTTTAGGGCTAATTGCAGGATTTATATTTCATAAACAGCACAAACACCTTCTTTTTTAAAGAGGGAATTAATCTGATTAATCAATTAAATCATTTGATTTTTCTCACATAAAAAGTTTAGTGATTAATTTCTTTCTTTTAAAAATGAGTTTGATTATATTATACTATTATATCATGTATTATAATTATTTTTTAACTTGCAATATAATAGTTAATTAGAAAAATAATTATATACATTTTTTTCGAAAGATAATATGTATATATATATATAATAATTTATGTATCCAAAATTGTATTTGTATATACACATACATATATATTTATGAATACTTACTGTATTTATTTACTGTTTATTATGAAGTGCATTTAAAATTCTAGCAAAACGATGAAATATTAAAACTGGAATATTTCACACACTGTTTTCAAAAATCATAAACAACTTTTGTTTACCGTGCGAATAGTGATATATAGTAATTTTTCTGTAGAACCGGAACCAATACTCATTTTTTAAATCTTCCATCATTGTACTTTGAATTGTCAACATTCCGCGACTCCGTTATTGACACTGTCTGATAACCAAGTTTGCATTATTTAATCAGCATAATACTGATAACCTTTGTCATATGTGCGATTCATTACAAGTCTCATTGTCAACGCTACTGTCGTTAAATTTTTACGTTGTTAAAAAATCTGTTTAAACCCTGAAAATTTGATTATTTTGTTTCTATCAGGTTTATTTTTCCGTAATTTTTATCGATTAAAAAAATATGGAAAATTAACTTGAAATTATAGAAAGATCAATTATAATCTTCTTGTATATCTAATTATAACATCTAAATTATAATTTAATGAATTGAGAAATTAATTATGTCTATAACTAATTTATTATATTTCTATTTATTATACATTGCTCCAAATAAAGGAACATTAATCTCGACGCGATCATTTAATGTGTTTCTCTTTTTTTGTCATATTTTTTGCGTGAATGAAATTCGGGCGATCTAAAAAATGATGGCTCGTCAGGATGGATCACTCGGGACAAGGATGTAGTTGAGCCTCTTTGTGACTCGCAAACCGGTCGCGAATGTCTTAAAATAGCCTTCCCTTTCGTTATCTTTTTACCTTTCGCGGCTTCTTCCCGCTCTCTCCTTCTTTCACAAGCAAAGAAATATATAACAAATTTTATTAAATTACATTAGAACTTCAATACTTTTCAATTAATTATATTATCTTGACCCATGTCATATTTTATATAAAATTTTTTTAAATTTTCAAATATAACATTCTCTCAATATATCCACGATATATAACCAGCTTTTCGAAAGCATTATCTTATCATACGCATATGCTTTTTTTATTTTCGGACTTCATTATTATTTTAATTAAAACTGTCGCGGAATGTTTGATCGTACAATAATGATAATTTACACAGATGATAAAAGGACCACATCGCATATATTCATGTAGCAATTAATTGTACACAAAAGCCAATACGATGTCGAACCTTGAAGGCAGATGTTACACATGTAACATACATACATTGCGATCTTACATAATTCGCGAGCCTCTTCGACCGTCTTTTTTATAGATCGACACGAAATTACCGGGTGTCATATCGTTCGCATCTTATAGAAAAGGCTTTGCATAATCGTGTTTGCACGCGCGACTGTTGCTTTCCTTCCTCTAGTGTCTTTAGACGCGATTATATATTTTATTCGACAACTTTATTGCGCTTTAGCTATATATATGTTATGCAAACGACAACGATTATTGCACTCGAAGTATCAGTGCTATTATGCTCGATGAAGCGACTATAGTCACTTCGGTAGGAAAGAATATGAGGATTTCGTAGGATTAACATGAAACTTTGATAGAATATTTTTCAGTGATTTTTCGAAATATTTTCTTTGGCGGTTTTTATATCATTCTGGAATTTCTATATAAAATTACATTTTATTATTAAAGGTCAGAGTTTGTCAACTTGAAATTTCTTTGTGATTAAATAAGGGAATAGTTTTCTATATTTAAGTTGTCTTTGAGCGACATGCAATTAATCTAATCAAACTGTAAAATACATTTCTTTTTTATTTTAATTTATGAAAACGCGAATTCTGCTCTTAATCGTACAATGGTTCGTTAAAAATCAAGCTCAGCGCAATTAAAATTTAAAAGTGTAAAAAAATTAATTCTTGTAAGAGAATCAATAGAGAGAAGAGAGAGCTAAGTAAAAAATTTTGTCGAATTTTTTTTATTATACATTGTGTTCTAAAATATTCGACGTGGAGAGAATTTTCTCGTAGAATTTATCCTGAAAATCGTGAGACAATATGATATTGGAAGAATTTTATTATATATTTTTTTTAATACCACGATAAGAAATATGAATGACGTACATAGTAAAATTATCGAACATATTTTATTCTGATATAGATATTAATATTTTTATTGTGGTAAACTCTTAATATTGTCCCACGGTTATAACGATTTTTCATTCTAAGAAAAAAATTCTTTCTATGTATAACACAAAATATATAAATACAAAAAGTGATAAATAAAAGGCCAACTTATCGAGCAATTATATTTATTTCATGTATAAATTATTAAGCTACAATCATTCAATACTAAAACTCCCGTAAAAAATAGTCATTCTAAAACAATAAAATAAACGTTTCAACCGCACGCGGTCTTCTTCAATATAATTATTAAAATACAAAATCATAAAAAAATTCACATATAATATCGAAAATTAATTTTAGTTCTCCACAAAATATATATACGAATTGTGTTTTGGACTGACGGATGGACGAGCGATCGACAATGCTACCTTAAGCAGTTGTGCCATTTATGTCGTGAGACTCCGTCGTCTTTAAGCACGCAAGGTGTGTCCTTATGCGCCGATCGCTTGCGTAAAATGCGTGCGACGCAATTGAGTGAGACGGGACACGCCGTTACGCTCTGATTCCGCCATTTCTGATCGTTCCGACGTCTTTTATGGCGATCCGAGCAAGTTTTTTAAGTTGATGGTCTCTTCGACTATTTTTGTGCTCCCTTTTTTTTTTTTTTTTTATTTCGCCGGATATGAATTTCATAGCGTCGCGAATCGCGTAACACATACTATATATCGCGAGCAGATGAAACTTTCCATACGGAAGTTACATTTCGACCGTGATTCCGGGATAT